GACCACGATTTTAACTAAATGAGTCCATTTTGAATTTCTTAAGGACCTTAGGACTAATTTGTTTTTTTGTAAGAGACGAATATGGGGACCATATTTTTTGTTAAGAACCCAGGTTATTTTTAAAATTGTTATCTCAAATAAGGTGTCCTTACTCATTACAGTAAAAAGTTAACGTGAAGCAGTCCCTCTTTATAGTAATTATATACAAAAATTTCATTCGGTTCCGCTTATAGCTTGTCAATTTTTATCATGCATAATTTAGTCTTTGTTAAAAAAAAAAAAAAAAAAAAAAAATCAAACTACGAAAGATTTAGCGATGCAGTTCAAATATAATTTTATGATAATTTGGTTAATAGAGTAAAAAGTTGGACATGAGTGAGTAAATTTTAATTCTAATATTATCCATATAAATAATTTAGAATTAGCTTTATCTATAATATTTTTAACTATTTTTGTCAACACACATATGATTAAATAATAATTTCTATAGTTTAATCATTATAACAATGACAATAACATATGTCACCTCACGAGAGCTTTGATAGCCCAAAACATTCAAAATCCTAATGAAATATTATAAAGTCAAATAACTTATAACAATATCCTCAAAAAAAAAAAAAAAATCTAAACTTACCAAAACTAGCTATTGTTTCTATCCAACCTAATTATATTCTTTTAGCATAATATGCAATGAACATTTCCATGATTTTTTTCTTATGCTATCCCCACTTTTCTGCTCCTCATTGTGAGAATTCTTAGAAGAAGACTTGCTTTGTTTTTTCTCTTCCTTTGAGACTATGCCATGACTACTATGGCCCTTGTTATAAGGAATCTCATCCGTGGAAGCATCTGAAGTCAATGAATCATCACTTTCATACCCATCAATAATCCTAGTTTTCTTCCACTTTCTTGTGCCTTTTACCTTTAATTTTTTTGTTTCTGCAGCATCCAGTATCCTCTGACACCTACTCCAACCAGAATCTGAGTCACTATACTGCTATGCTTTTCATCCAATTGTTTAAATGACTCATTTTCTGAAATAGGAAAGGTGTATGTTAATCTTAAGAAAAAACACACTGAGACAATGAATGAAAATCTAGCTACTTTGAAATGTTGGTATATATACAACAAAATAGTTTGTCAAATAAAAGGAGTTTTATCGCAAGGTCTTAAATTCCGGAAAGAACCAAGAAGGGACCATTCATCCTCTGTATTATTAAATTTATTATGACCAGCTATTAAGTAATTTTTTCCTTATGACAATTTTTCCCCTCATTAATTAATTTTCTGATTAATTTGATTCAAGTTCTATCATATCCATATAGAAGGTAAATAAACTGTTATTTTTTCCATTTTTTATAATCAATTAATGATTGTATTTTTAGGGACAAAAGCATAATTTAAGAATTTTTTTTTATATAGATTAATGAATTTTAATTTCTAATATATATAAATATGTCATTTGAAATAATATTTTATAATTATATTTAGGGAAAAGTATTTTTCTTGCGATAGGAGATAATGAACCTAAAATTATGTCGTTTTCAGGATTTATGAAATTAATGAAGATTTTTTTAGCAATTTTATTTGTTTATTTAGTACATGAATTTTACTAAAATACTCTCCACTAATTTTCATAATTCTCGAAACGATATAATTTTGGGGTTATTGAAAATAATTTTAAGATATGTAAAAAGATAGATGGCCAAATAAACTTTTCTCAAAAAAAAAAAAAAATTTAGTTTGATGAATGCGAAATTTTGAGTTTTGCGAGTATTGACAAATTTAGTAGTGTTGTTAACTTAAACAGCTTGAGAAAATATGATGAATGTTATATCTACAAACTTTTTGTTTACAAACTCTTACAAATTACATTAAGTATGACCAGTCATACTTCAATCAAGAGTGTATGACCAGCCATACTTAGTGTAATTTGTAAAAAAAATTTGTAAATGAATCATTCCCCAGAAAATATATGTTATGCAACCAATTTTTTCAAAAATCTAACTGGGGTAAAGGCACATGAATAGTTTTATTGGATCTCTGTTAACACGCTTCACCCGCAAAAATCCTTTGGACTTTGAAGAGTTAGCAACAAATTTCCTAAAATTTCAAAATTGTTAGGTAAAGACACAACAATTTTATTAATCTCTTAACAATATCAATAGACGTCTTTTCCGAGTAAAAATCGCTACCAAAACCATAATATTCTCTACAGTTCCTACTAATTTCTGCATATTTATAAGTTTAATTTTACACATATATCATTGACAGATAAAAATTAACAAATAAATAAATTAGAGAAGGCAAACAATAGATACTTAAAACAGTAATGCATGATGACTCGTACCTTTTGTGACTGCAATACGAGAACGGGATGACATGTTGATAATGAAGAATAATAATGAAGTTATTTCTCTCCTTGCTCCTTCTTTCAGCGTTTTGTCGGAATTATGCGTAATTCAACGTATGTTCAATGGAAACCAATGGATTAATTTATAGACAATAACAAGTATAGGGGTGAGATGATCTATTACTCAATCAAATCAAACTTAATTTAGGAAAATAATATTGACCAATATATTGAAAAAAAATTTAACAATATCCTCCATAAATGAAAAATAATGTAACACTATCTCACATAATTTTAAAAAACAAAACAAAACATCTTATATAAAATAGAAACAATCAACGTCGATATACCATATCCTGCAAATCAAATCTTAAATTAATCGTACTAAACAACATTAAGGAACGACTATATAACAAGGGTTAAATATTTTTACCGTCACTTTAGAAAAAGTTGTCTACAATTATCTTTATTAATTAAGGGATTGTATTGGATTAAGATTTTAAAAGATTTTTTTTGAAGATAAAAAATATTATAGATTTCAAAAGACTATTTAAAATTGGAAGGACTTTAAAGACTTTTGTAAAATATTTTTTTTACAATCAAGATTTCATAAGAATGGATTTTAAAGAATTTAGAGTAAATACCATTTTGGGTCCCTGACAAAAAACACGGTCCACACTTTAGTCCTTTACAAAAATAAATTAGTCAGTTAGTCCTTAACAAATTCAAAGTGGATCCATTTTAGTCCTTTTGAAAGACTAATATGAGTCTTTTTTGAATTTATGAGGGACCAGGATTTCAACTAAATGGGTTCACTTTGAATTTTTTAGGGACTAACTGACTAATTTATTTTTGTAAGGGACTAAAGTGGATACCATGTTTTTTGTTAGGGACCAAAAATAGTATTTACTCAAGAATTTATAAGATTTGAAAGGACAATATGGATTTATAAGATTTTAAAAAACATATGAACTTTTAACAAACATTCAAAATTCAAGAGTCAATAAAAAAAATAACAAAGAAATGCAATGATATTAATAAAAAAAATAAAACCTAATATAATTTTCTCAATCAGTAAAACATAATATATGCTTTAGCATTTTCTCGTTCCTGCTCTTGAGTTTGACCAATGGTTGAAAATTTTCTTCTTCATTTGACATCAGAGCTATGCATATATGATTATAAAACTCAATTTTATTTATTTATTAAAATATTCTAAATTTTCATATAGAATATAAAGCTCATGATAAAATTTCGTTTGAAACTTTTTGCAATTGATCTTGAAAATCGTGGAATTTGTGTTTTACGTGATAAGAATTTTCTAACTATATATTATATGAATATTTTCGTTGAGTATTCTAAGAAAATTTCGAATCTAAATTTCTGGGTTTTATTACATGAAATTTTAGAAAATTTCTCAAATTATTTTCAATCTATATATTGAAACCTTAAATTGCTTTGGGGCTTTTAAAAAACAAATTTTTAGTTATCTATTGACACCAAAATTGTTTGAAATTGTTTCCTATAATGAAGGAATTTCGTTCATGAATATATTGTTATGAAATATAATGTTCATATTATGAAAGTTTCAATCTTTCTTTAATTTGATATTGTTTTATTGATGTAAAACAAAAATTGGTTGGAGGGTTTTAGTTCTCATGTTGTTTTTCCATTGTTTTATGTTGTTTTTAATACAAAAATAACACATTTTGTGTCAAGAAAAATCGTGACCCATAACTTGAAAAATTATTATATAAACTTTCAAAAACTCTCGAAAATCGATAAAATGTTTTCTATTTTTGCGATGGATTATATTAGAATATTGTTGGTTTGTTGTTCCTAGATTATTTTATGATGAAAAGCGCTAAAAAATCGGTTGTTTTTAAGCTTTGACAAAGTTTCAATGGTAGAACCTGATTTCTAGCAGGATAACTCGCCAAAGGAAGAAGAAGACACTGCAATGGAGAAATCTCAAAATATCCAAGGGATAGGATGAGATTATGAGAGAGGCATTCTATTTATATTTCTTATTAAAAAGTCTCACGAAATCCACACTAATAGAAAATCCATTAAAATCGTAAGATTTTTGAATACCACAAGATTGTTTTTCTTTTATTTAAAATTCTGATTGAATATCAATGGATTTGAACCGACTCTAAAATAATCTTTTAAAATCCTAATCGAATACCACGTTACTTTTTTCAATCCTTTAAAATTCTAATTAAATATCAATCGATTTTTTTGTCCAAAAATAATCCATTAAAATCACGAGCTAGTTGATGAAGCTCGTGATGTTGTAATTAAAGAACAAATGGCATTTGTACTTTGGTATGTAAACAAAAAATGGTCCATTGTTGAATGCTTTATTGGCATAATTCATGTTTCAGATATTACTGCACAATCACTAAAAGCAGCAATTGGTGAGCTATTTTCTAAACTTGGTTTAAGTTTGTCTAAATGTCAAGGTCAAGTCTATGACAGTGCTAGTAATATGCAAGGTGAATTCAAAGGGCTTAAGAGTTTGATTTTGGCAGACAACGAATCTGCATTCTACATTCATTGTTTTGCTCAGCAGTTACAATCGACACTTGTGAAGGTTGCAAAATATCACAAAAAGATTCAATAATTTTTTAACATGCTTCAAAAGATGGCTACCATTGTGGGGGGTTCATGCAAGTGGAAGGAAATTCTTCAAATGAATCAATATGAACAAATAGTTGAAAGAACCGCTCACGGTCAAATACCAACTGGAAAAGGTTTAAATCAAGAGACAATCTTAAAGCGACCCGGAGACACTCGTTGGGGTTCCTATTTTGGTACAGTTACAAGTGTTATCTCAATGTTATCTCTAATAATTTTCTTGATGAAAATTATTAAAGACGAGCCTAAGAATGATGCTGCAAGAAATGATGCAGGTTGTATTTTGTATACCGCGGAGGATTTTGAGTTTGCATTCTTGTTGCATCTTATGCAACTTATCTTGGGGATTTCTTATGAGTTGTCACAAGCACTACAAAGAAAAGATCAAGACCTTTTAAATGCAATTGGTTTAGTGAGGGTAGTCAAGTCTCACTTACAAGAGATGAGAGATAATGGTTTTGATGAATTGCTTCAAGAAACGAATATTTTTGCAAATAAATATGATATTGACATTCCACATATGGAAGATGTTTATTGTCCCTAAAGGGATATCAAGACGGATATTAGAATCATTCACATTCTTGCACTACTTTAAGGTGGAGTTATTTAATAGTGACAGATACTTAGCTTCAAGAGTTGGGTGATCGATTTGATAATGTCAATACCAAGTTGCTTGAGTGTTTGAGTTGTCTTGATCCTCGTGATTCATTTGCTACTTTTAACAAAGAAAATTTGATTGAGTTGCTAGTTTTTATCCTTTGGAGTTTAATGAGCTTGCAGATATTCCTTTTCTTTCTTCAAGTCTCGATAATTTTATTGTTGATGTAAGAGCTGGTTCTGATTTTATCAATTTGAAAATAATTTCTCACCTTACTTTAAAGATGGTTGAGAAGAGAAAGGATATTGTTTATCCATTGGTCTATTTGTTGATAAAGTTGACACTCGTTCTACCGGTAGCTACAACTAGTGTTGAGCGAGTTTTTTCTGCAATGACTTTTGCTAAGGATAAGTTGCGCAATCAGATAAGTGATGATTGATTTAACACATGCATGCTAACTTATGTTGAACGTTATATATTTGATAAGATTGATGATGAAGATATAATGCAATATTTTTAAGGAATGAAGAATCGAAGAATGCTTTTGTAATCGTTATATTGTAATAGGTTAGTTTACTCTTGATTACTATTTATTTATGTTAAGTTGAAGTTTTCTTTTCTTTTCTTGTTGATATATAATGAGTCTTCTCCTACTTTCTGTGTGACCTTTTTTTTAATTGGGGTTTGCTTTCAGCTTATGTGCTATATTCTGGCTTAAAAAGAGAGGATTAATGCTAGGTTTGACATTCTCAAATGAGTTATTCTCTAAAGATGAGGGCCTTCAATGTGATTTTGCTTGCCTTCGGTACATGTAGTGTTGACTTTTTTATTCACCTTTATAAATATAATGATGATGAATGATTGTACTGGAGTATATTCTCATATTTGTTTTGGAGGATTGGTAAGATTTTTTTTTTGGGGGTGGGGGGGGGGGGGGTAAAGGATTGGTCAAACTATTGCCTGCAGCTTGTTTTGGAAGCAACTAGATTCTGAGCGGGTTTGTAATCTTGTACATAAAGTGTTGATTTAAACTTTCTATACAAATTTTTTTTGCATGGTGCAGACATAAAAAAAATTTCCTGGGTCCGCCACTATTTTTAATGGTTTATATTATGCTCTATCACAATATTTGCCACATTTTGTGTATCTTCTATGTAATTGAGTTTCTTGGTAATTTGCAAATGAGGAAATTTGGAAGTCATGTGCATTTCACATGTAAAATACTATTTAATTCTAGTTGGTGTTAGGAAATTAGATATAAGTAATTCCTCATATTGTGACCCGTGTGATCGATGACATGACATTCTGTTTGACATATCTCGCTTAATAAAAGTATTTGTTGCAAACTTTGTCTCATTTTGATATTAATAAATAAATTATGTTATGTTATTTTTCATTTATGATGAAATAAATGTAATAATATTGTCATAATATATATATATATATATATATATATATATATATATGGAAATATAAGCCTCATGTTGCATAAGATAGTTATCTTATACTATACATCCATAGAGTTTTGGGCTAATGTGAATGTATGTGAATGTTGATTGCACGATTAGATAGATTCTCTGGCCAGTAGAATAGATTCTTACCAGCATTCTGGGGAAGGCTGATGGACCTGAGGAATGGGTGTGGTTGATGTTAATAAACCTTGCATCGTTATATACTAGTTATTGTGAGCTTGTATGCATAATACTGTTTTGATGCCTATATATCATGGAAGTGAGCTCAGGGTTAGAGGAGCCTCCAAGGACCTTGAGTTTACTGAGATTGTGTTTCACCCCGTATAGGGAATTATTTTTCAGGTACTAACAGTGATAGTATTGGTGTGTCACATGGCAAGAGGCCAGATATAGCATGAGTGCATAGCATATAGCCTGATTACTGTTTTGTTGTTATGTAATCAGTATTGAGCAGATGATGACATGATAGTTTTGATTACACATTTTGTATAATCATTTATTACATTTGATAGATGATCATGCATATGATTATATTTTGAGTATGTAAAATGTGTAATGAGATGATGAAACAGATTATGTAATGACATATCTTGAAATTCTATGCCAATGAGATACATTAATGAGCTATTAATGTTTAAGTTTTGAGAAGAGAATGATAGATCTTAGATGTAAAGCCTTGAAATGGCTAAGAATAGCATAATATATGTTAAATTGTCAATCGGGTGTCATATCAAATTGGAAAAGTATCCCTAACCCCCAAGGAACAACCAAGTGTTGTCCATTTGAATTCTGTTAAATATGGGCGACTTAGAACGCCCATATCTTACTCAATTCTTAACCAAATAGGGCATATTATATATCAAATTAAATCTCCAAGAGTTTAGTTTCTTGCATCTAAATTTTAGAATTTTCTGGGCAGCGCAATGTTCCTAGTTTAGTGTGGAACCAAGGCTGCCAGAAAACTCTATTTCACTGGTTGTTAAGAAATAAACAGCCTGTTTGGAGATCAAAGTGGGAATGACCCTTGAGTGGGAACAACTCGTGAGTGGGGACGACTCCAGTGTGGGAACTCCAATTGTTCCAAAAATAGAAAAGTAATTTTAACACCATGTTAGCTTATGGGGGCTGTATGGTAATGATATTAAGATAATATAAAGTAAGAGTTGCAATTAAGTAGTTGAATCATGTGAGTATGGAATTAATGTTTAAAAAGTAGATAAAAGAAAAATTTTATCTCTAATTTTAATTCAATTATTGTGATTATAACTGCGCTTAATATCATATGTAATGTTAACAAACTGGATGCATAGGTGGTGTTACACCTCCAAACTCCCAAACACATCCTCAATTTTTGCTTATAAGGAGAGGAAAAGTTAAAAATAAGAACCGCTAAATAGGCACTTAATCCACTATTCACATTTACTTTTGAATTTCAAAAATAAATAAATAAAATCATTGAATCATCACTTTTGTCCCAATCATCTCTAGCTTTCTTCTTCTTTCTTGTGTCCTTCCCTTTGTGTCTTCTGTTGCGTTCTTCTTCATCCAACTACAGCTTTATTCACTAATGTTTTGTTCTTCATCCAATTGTTTAAAGACTCATTTTCGAAAACATGAAAAGTACGTGTTAATTCAAAAGAAACTAATGCTACAAAAAAATCCATCCCGTAGTGGAGAAAAAAAATAGAGGCATATAATATAAAAATTATTGATTAACCTTTACTTAATAGCTTAATCTTTTAGGTGAGATGATTGCTTTGTATAATATCTGAGCTTCTGTGACAATGGGTCACAAGTTCCACACTCATCACCTCCGCTTCCTAGTGGAATTAAATCCGCATACGGTAGAATAAAAAAAATAGACCCCTCGATATCCATGTTTGAAGCCCAAAACCCTCTTGAGAGTGTTAGAAAAATATAATGCAAAAACAATTGATATATTATCATTTAACAACTTAAACTTTTAGGTTAAATGTCTGGTGTAAAAAAATCTACCACTAAATAAGGAGAGATTTAACCACTGTAGTGTATCGGTCGCTAATTCGATCATTAATTATTTTAGCAACTAATTTCTAAAAATAATAACATATTTTTTGTTCCTGATTAATTATTTTACTGTAGTGCATCATGATCATCACTTTCTTTTTTTAGATTTCTTTACTATTTCGTTAATTAATTGACTAATCTAAGTATGTTGGATCGAATTATAACGACTACAAAATTTTCCTTAATCTTTTACACAATTACTTACTCAGGGCTCGAATTCAAAATCAATAATTAATTTATAATAATCTCATATCAATTTATCCACGTGATTAATTGTTGGGAACTCAGTTCCCTCAAACTCAACACGGAAGCGTATCACAAGTCAAACGTTGAGCTCGAAGCTTGGCAGTCACAATCAGTGGTCGGCCTGAATCACCAGATCGGCCAAAGCAGCAGAAACAGAAAATGCAGAGGAGAAAGACAGAGAAGAACACATTCAAGATGTTTAACGTGGAATCAATGTGAATTCATAAAAAAATTCACGGTACAGTAGTCGAGAATCAAACTTCCACTATGAGAGTAATGAATACAAGATATCAAACTTCACCAATAATGGTGGTACACTCAAACCTAACCTATAATGGTGGTATTCAAAACTTTCCTAGAGATGTCTCTCTTAAACTTCTCTCCAGAGGTGCTCTCTAATACAAAGCTCTACGATTTTCTCAAAATCACTAACGGCCCAACCTCCTCACCTTTACACACCACAAGTATATATAGGGGAGGAGGAAAAATTCTAGAATATCAAAAGTGAAAATTAGAATTTGTTGAACCCCAAATTTCTTAAACCCTACAAAAGTAACTTTCGACCTTTGGGTAACCAACAATAATATCATCATAGCTGCTTTTTGTTAGGGCCAGATGGAGTTACTATGACACTTGTACTCGTGCACTTAAAAAACAATTACTCCCACTTGCTCCTCCGCACTCCACAATGTACGTGGTGTGTTTAGTCCAAGTCATGAAATGGGAAGTGTTAACATCTTTAGCACACCTCGAATATGTAATGGGAAGTGTTAACATCTTTAGCACACCTCGAATATCCTTAGGATATATTTATCTAGGATCCAACTTCAACACCTTCTAGGATCCTTTTGGCAATGGGCTATTTGACAAACTGTCACCAATGTCTCCCATTACTCAAAAAAGTTTCTTAAACATGTTGCTTTTTCTTTTTCTAAGATTTAATTTCTTTTAGCCATTTCCATATTTTTAAAAAAATACGGATACACGGGATATTATACAACATGGCATAAATACATAGATATGATAAATTTTAAAAATTATAGAATACAACACGGCTAAGACATAAAATTAATATATATATATATATATATATATATATATATATTATCCTTACACAAATCTTAATTTAAAATAAAGATATTAATTAATATTTTATAAGTTAGGATTAGTCACTGTGAATAT